ATATTACCAATTAATAAATATGAAATATTTCTTCTAAAAATATTTACAATATTTCCTAGAAATATTTATAATATTTTTTTGGAAAAACACATGTATTTAACCAAAGCTCCAACACCTGCAGACTAGACCGGTTTCCAGCTTCGAACTTGTGAGCGAAGCACACCAACTTAAAGAAACAGGTTTGAAGGAAACTCAAACACTAGGAAAGAGCAAGGCCATCAGTAGCGCGTGGTGCCCTCTCTCGGTAGTCCTGATTGATATGGATAAGGTACATCTCCTATACAGGGTGTATATTTTAAGTGATACCACTATTACTATATCCGAAACGGTAGGAGCTACAAGGTCGGTTAAATTAGAAAAAAGTTGCCTTTTTTGATGCCCATTCAAGATTTGCTTACAGTGTTGTCAAATTCCATTTAGTTTATGAAATACAGGGTGATTTCCAAAAAACGCTCAAAATTATTTCATCAATTATTTCGAAAACTATGTATTGATATTCGAGACACCATTTCATTTTTTTTTTAAATACGGACCTGGAATTTTTATGTCATTTCTAGAATCTATTCCGTCTTTAATGATATACTTCTTAAGTATGATTGGCCGACATTTCTGCTCTGAAAAGTAACCATTAGTGATTTTTACCAAAATTTTACCTTAATTCGGCCCTAGTTATGAACCTGTATTTCATAAACTAAAAAGAACTTGGCAACACTGTAAACGAATCTTGAATGGGCATCAAAAAAGGCAACTTTTTTCTAATTTAACCGACCTTGTAGCTCTTACCGATTCGGATATAGCAATAGTGGTATCACCTAAAATATACATCCTGTATATCACCAATATTGGATAAATATTAAATATAAACATGAATGAAAGATATTGCCAAACATGGATTGGATCCAATATTGGATCAATCTTGGATTCACATATTATATAATAATAATGTAGGAAAAAGATTATCTCCAATATGTTACCAATATTGGCTACAAATTGCTAATATTGGACCTATATACAATATTTTACTTTTGAGAATCAATATTTGGCCAATATGGAAAAATATATCACTGTTATACTAGAAAAATTTGTTTTGCCATATTATATCCAATATTGGCTCAATAATGCAAATAAAAACATTATCTGTGCATATTGGTCCATTAATGGATACAATACTATGGTAATATTAGAAAAAGTTGTATTGCCAATAATCCACCAATTTTGTCCAAATAATGTCAATGAAGATATTTTTTCTGTATATTAGCCCATTCTTAAGTAAATTGCCCCCCCCCCCCTCAAGACCTTTAAATTTTATAAATAGTTCTTCAAAATTAAAATAAACAGACCCAAAAATACCGTCAAAAGACCCAAAAAAAGTGCCTGGCATCCAAAAATTTCGCGCCTGCGGTGCTTTGTTTCCCGCAGCGCTTGCGGTGGACCAATAAGAAAGATAAAGGAACACTTCCTGCAAAAATATATCCATCCAAACTCCGTGATCTGACCTTATATGCTGCCATCAGTTTTTCGGACGCCTAGTAGAATCTGAGTATATTCATTGACGCCCAAGATGGTGTCAATTTGACCAGGGCTGGAACTCTGTAATGCATATAGATCGTTACCCTTATCGCTATGGATGGCACTTGCTGTCTTTTTCTGTCTTGTCGAAATCAATAGAGAGGAGATGTCAATGGAGATAGAGAAAATATCTTTATCCGTTAGAGAGTGCCAGCCCAGATTTCTGGAATGTTTTCCACAAGGTTATTGCAGGAGCTGGCCATCAAAAAAAAGTAGTTTCATCTGAGGAAGATATTACTAAAGTTCATTCCACGAAACAAGATAGTAGAAGTAAACAAACAGGCGGAGCTTAAAAACTCAGAGAAGGACTGCAAAAATATGAATTACAACTAATGACATTTATTATTGTCAGGTTGTCATATGAGTCAATAAGTTTAATGTCGCATTTCCTAGTATTTTACAATTATTTAAATAGTGTTTGGTGAATTATTGTTAATTAGTGAACTATTTAGATTAAAACAATATCAAGTTCAACAGATTCCGCTGAAGTATTCGTTTGGAAATATATTCAGAGAAGAGAAATACAAAACAACCTGACGCTCCTGCCTAGGGCGGAGTATATTCCTTTTCTAGACAATAAAATTCAACTTACCTGTCAAAGTTTGTTTACTTCCACTATCTCGTTTCGTGAAATGAAGTTTACATCTTTCTGTCTTCACATAAATTCCTAATTTTTTTAGCACGTTTCTGAAACAGTTTGCACAGTATTCGTATACTCCAACCAGTAGCTGAATGTTTCCAAGAAATGATATTCCACTGCTTTGAGATTCCGTTGCGTAGTAGTTGATAGCTGTTGCAGGGCACCAGTGATTGGATCTGTAGTTGAATCAAATCCAAGCGGCAGTAATGATATTGAATAACCTAAATTGTAAACAAACACCAGCTAGTAATCCAGCCTTCCTATTGGTTGAAACGCCTTATCAGGACTGGTGCGCATGCACGGAGGACATTTGATAGGTTGTAACACAGCCCCCTACATTTAACAAGCCATGAAGTTAAAAAGGCAACACCGCAATCTTACCGCCAAGTGGTGCTGGTGGTGTTTGTTTGTATAAATATATATTTTTTATTTTATTAATATGAATCACAAAAAATACATAATTTATTGTACTAAAGGGCCAAAAACAGTAATTCAATGAATAATTTAACTATTTGTGTAAATAAGAACAGTAAATAACTGATTTAAATGAATATATTTCTAGAGTCTAAAGTGTTATAGGCCTATGTTTCAGTATGTCTTTTGAAAATCTAACTTTTTCTTTCTTCGGGATTTTTTCGGAAGGCAAGTCCATTCAAATACTTGAGCTGATTTTCGAAAATAAGAGGTACCTACTTTTAAGAGTTGGACGTTTTAGTTTGAACTCTCGAACTACGCCTTTATCCTTGTTTGTTTCAAATCTAATTATTTCGGTTTCTTCAAAATGTTTACAACACACCACAGAATTTTTCGTTATTGTATAATCTCGGGTATAATTATCTTGGTGTATTGCTTTTATCCACATTTTTTGCACTTCAGAATTTTTTTGGAAATAAAAATGTTTGCATTTCTTCAGTTTTTAAGGAACTCCTAATAGTTCGATTTGCACCCAGGAACACAGTAGTTTCATGGCATCTGGAACAAGTTTAAATATCTTAGGTAATATATCGAGACCTATGCTCTTGCAGACAAATATTAATATTGTTTTTATTGTTTTACCTTACCTTACCTTCATTTTTGCTCCTGTACCCATTTGCTTAAAATTTGCAATCAAAGCACAAAGGAACAGGTATCAACTAAATATGGGCAATATATTGGTGTGTTTCTATCCACTTTTTCGTCAATAATGCCCATAAAAATACTAAATTGCAACAATACACAATGAAAGCAATACACAGAAACACTTAACCCAATAACAAAATAGCACCATACGCGACGTTGCCGTCATTTCCAATTTCATGGCTGTGGTTGTAATGAAAATGACCAGTAAATGTCATTACTGCCATTTGGATTTAAGGCCGCGTTAATGGCCGCCATGTTTAAATTTCGTTTTTGAAAATGACGACTGCGTCACTCTACACATAGGGTTCAATATTTTATTATTTCTCCAAAACAAAATCTGTTTGTCGGTAAAACACTTAGTGAAAGAGAAAGACAAATATACAATTATGATGCTCCCAATGTAGCTGTTTTGTCGTGGCGTCATTCAAAATTCGTTTAAAGGTCATCTCAAAAAATCCGCAATAATTTTCAAAATCCTTTGGCATAAACATTATTTGATATATTATCTACAATCTCTATAATTAGCTTTTTTAGTTTTTCGTGGTTATCAATAAAATATGCTTTTCACGGATCCAAGCTTGATAAACATGCCAATATGCAACCACCAACACATTTAATTGTTTTGGTGGTTGCGAACATGATTTTTGAATTAAAAAAAAGAAGGCTGAATATCGAAAAACCAAAATAAGGACTTGTAGATAATCGATCAAATAATAGAGAGTTATTGGACGTGCAATAAGGACAAGCAGTATTTAAATAAGCCTTATTTTGACATCTACGCATGCGCTTTTGGGTCCGAAAATAAGGATTCCCTTAATAAGGTTACTGCTTGTCTTTATTTGTGTATGGTTAGTGCGAGGCAGTAAACTTCCCTTATTTCAAATTTCTGACATTTTGGACGACTTTGACGTTTTGCTTTTCGAGGATGACGTAATTTTACTTAGAAAATTTATTTTTTACAATAGTTTTCCATTTTACTGTGGGTAACATCAAAAAATGAGTATCAGCAGAAAATCACAAACAAAAACAAACACTTTCTGAGGCTGAAATTTATTAACATAGCTATCATCTGTCAGAGTTATAAATACAAAATAAGGTAATACTCTAGCACCTACTACAGTCTTCCAATAACTGTTTTTTTCTTGGAAAAATAGTGCTGATGCACTAATAAAATAACGTAGATCCTTAATACCGCGAGGCAGTATTTAATAGTTCCAATAACTCTCTAATGTTTATGCCAAATTTGAGCCAATTCTGATGTGCCGTTTTTTTTAAAGACCTTAAAACTAGTTTCGAAAAACCAACCAATCACAGTTTAAAGTTGGCGGCCATTAACGCGGCCTTAATTCAGCTATAGAATCCAGCAAAATTGTCTGGAATTTCTAATGGAATTTCTTCTTCCTCAAGACTAAGTCAGGGTTGCTAGATGCACTTGAATAATGATTAATTCTTCTTATCATTGTAGAATTTGCTGGAAACACTACTCGGGGTAATAAACATAAAGATGGATTTACTAGTTTTTGTGATCTCCACATGAGCTTTCTCGGTTTTTTTCTCAGACTTACCTGAGAAGATTGATTTCATGAATTACATTAGTTACGGCACAGGCGTTATCTCTCCGACTTTTCTCCATAAAAACCAATTAGCACCTCTTATATCAAACACATAATAGATTCACAGTGTCACCATAGAACTGAAAGAAAAGAAAATCGCAGTACCGATACCGGATCACATCAAACCGCTTATGGAACCTTACAGAATCGAAGTTCTCTTCTGGGGCGTGAGAAATTTAAGAAAGGTTCACCTAATAAGAATAAACCGACCAAAAATTATCTTCCATTTCGAAAATAGTACCATTACTTCTCAAGTTATCGACAACGCGAAGAAATTTCCGAATTTCACCAACAACATTTGCAGCTTAGACGTTGTAAGTACCTATATTTTAATTAAATTTACTGGTGTTTTTTTAGATTTTTGCTAACAATTTTTGATTAGATTATACCGAACCAAAGTGAATACCCTGGCATGGTGTGGCTCAAACTATTCGACAGCAGAAAATTTGGAGTGTACGTTTACTGTGGCATAAGCCTCGACGAAACGACGCCATTCTTACTCAAGCTTATGACAAAAGACGAACGTTTGGCCCTACTTACCGGACTCAAGACATCATCGAGTGTTCCAACGTTGAGACATAATTCCAGTAACTATTGGGTTTTATTTGATTTTTAAACCATATTAATGTTTGGTTTAATTGAAGTAGAAGAAGTTGAGGTTGAATCAAAAGAAGTTGAGATTGAATTAGAAATGCCCAGTCCAAAGAATGAAGTGCCTGAAAAAGTTAAAAAACCAAGTAGGTCATGGGAATTTGTTAAAAAGTGCTTGAGATGTGTTTTGGGTTTCAAAAAAGTGATAGAAAAGTCTGATGAGAAATCAAAAAGCGGTTATACTTTGCTAGTAGAGGAAGCAGTAGAGAAGGAAGAAGACGAATCTGATCACGATTGGTGGACGAAGTTTTATGCTTCGGTTGAAGTAACTTCAACTTGATAGTTTAAATAGTCAATCTTAATGATGATTTTTTTTTCCTAGAAAGGGCACGATAACCAAAATTTGAATTCTATACAAACTTTAAAGGTAATTTATTGATTCAAATGTAAGCATAATGATATAGAGTCTTCTTCTAGATTTACCCAAACGAACTGGAATGTCAGCCAGAGTTTAATGGATTCTCTGATATGCTTACCACTTTTGAAATATTTAAAGGCAAACAAATCGGAGATGAAATCGTGGATGATCAATTCATTACTGCCATCGTCAAAGGGTAAGATTATTAGAAAAAGTGGAGAGGAAATTGAGCTGGTGATAATTGAAATGTTAATTTTTTTGTTCTTGTCTTGCCTTGTCATTTTGGTTACGTACAAGATCATATATCATACCTAGTCGATTATTATTGATGAATCTATTAAAATTCTAGATCAATTAAATTCTATAAATGGCCTCCAGAAGACGAGGATATAGACCAATACGTAACTCCTCAAGGAAGTTTAGCAAAAGATGGAGTGTTTAGTAATATTCCTGCGAATACAAACTTAAATTATGTGTTGAGGTATATTCTTGTTTCTCGAAACTTTCATATCATTGCATGGCTTTCTAGAATTTATTGCGTAAGAGGAATCAATCTAAGACCCAAAGATCTGAATGGAAAATCCGACCCTTATATAGAAATCAAGCTAGACGACAAATTGCTGAACGACAGAGAAAATTACATCCCGCGCGACGTAAATCCTACATTTGGCAGGCAAGACAAATTCAATATTGATCCAAAATAATATCTTTACACAATTTTGTAGGTGTTATGAATTCAACTGTTCCTTTCCGCAAACTACTTCGGTTACAATCAGAGTAAAAGATTACGATATGACAAGCAGGGACGATTTGATTGGCGAAACGAAAATCGACTTGGAAAATCGGTTTTATACCAAACACATCGCTAGCTGTGGCATACCTAAATGTTATCGCACGTAAAAACAATTTAATGCTGCTTTCTACATAATATCTACTTTGTGAATTTCAGAAAAGGATACTGTAAATGGCGTGATCAAAGGAAACCATCCAAAATCCTAAACAAACTATGCAAAATTTGGGGCCTAGAAGATCCCGTATACCAAGAAAACAGCATATCTATCAACTTTAAAGAATTCTTTCCAAAATCTCTTAACCCCGATCCAGATATTAACAAAGAAGTACTAGCGCTAAAAGCATTACGTCACTGGCAAGAAATGCCTTTGGTAGGCTTCCAAATAGTTCCAGAACATGTTGAAACGAGATCGCTTTTCACTCCCGATAAACCTGGCCTGGAGCAAGGGAAACTGCAACTTTGGATTGATATATTTCCTAAATTAGACTATCCAGTTGCACCTAAAGTTGAGATAACACCCAGGAAACCAGTATCGTACGAGCTGAGAGTTATTATTTGGAATACTGAAGATGTCGTCCTGCAAGAGGATGATTTATTTACAGGAGAAAAAAAGTCTGATATTTATGTCAAGGGGTAAAAATTCTTGATTATTTGGCGACTGGTTTTTTTAAAAACGAATTTCTTGACTTTAAGGCGATTTATATTTTATTTTCAGCTGGCTTCACGATTCCACCCAGGCCCAGAACACGGACGTTCATTATAGATCGCTAACAGGCGAAGGAAATTTCAATTGGCGTTTTATTTTTAAATTCGATTATCTCGCGACTGAAAGTAAAATGGTAATCAAAAAGAAGGATTCCATATTTGCAAGGGAAGAAACTACGCGAAAAATGCCTTGCATTTTGAATTTGAGCGTTTGGGACAACGATTCGTTTTCTGCTGACGATTTTATGGGTAAGTTTATCACAGCATTTTCACATTAGGTTATATTCATGTTATATAGGTGAGTAAAGGTAAGAAATATTGATCTTGAAACTATCTCGGTTTGTGTGCAAGTTTTCCGTTAACTTCAACTCACTTACGAAGTTTTCTAGCTTATTACTATTATTGCTATCAAGAATCGAAATTCATCTTGAATTCTCGAAAGAAAGTTATCAAGAAATTTATAGATGGAATGAAGTTGCATTAGAAAAGTCGGCCACGTTAGGGCGCTAGTCGATAGTCAGACAGTATTAGTGAAACTTACGAAAAATTTTACTTTCTCGGGGATAAGTAATTTTTTATTAGAAGGAATAGAAGCAGATTCAGGGAAAACTGAATACTGCGTGAGATTTTTCTAGGCATTAGGTATTTCAGGAAAAAGGTGAACTTCCTCAAAAATATCGATTCATCAAAACGAATAGAAACAGATCCAGAAAAATTTCAGGTAACAAATGGCCTAAACCAAAGAATAAACACGCTGTCAGATAAGCTATCGCTCTGGTTGATCGATGATTTTAGGAGGATTGCAAAGTCTTTACTTCAACCGTTGATTGCGACTTTTGTGGAGCTGCAAAATAGATTCATCGTTGCTCCAGTTCAAGAGTACTGTAAAATCGGGTGACTTGAGACGATTTTGACTTTCAGCAAGCGATATTTTCGAAACTATTTGACTTAGCGATGACCTCAACACGTCAAAAGTTGAGTCTTAACCCGTAGAATCGGTTTTATGAATTGAGTTTTATGTGAATAACGAGTTACCCAGGGTTTTTTATTATTTTTTGACTGTCTCATGTCAGACGCTAGGGTTGGGTTACTTGAGACAACCATATATTTCAAGCATTTGCTCATGTTTCAAACCAAAAGGATCACTTGAGACAAAAGAAACGTTTTTTAAAAGGTGGCTATTGACTCCTAGCGCTAGCAGGTTTGATATTGTCACACCAACGAGTGCTTGAAATCTGAAAATGTCTTTTCAAAAAAAGCCGGACCTAATCTTTTCCAGGCAAGTTTTTTTTCTTGAATTTTTGATCACCCCGTCCGTCTTTACGACTTTACTAAACGTTTTAAGTCGTTTCCCATAATAAGGAAGCCCCTACGGCAAGAAACTCCTAATTTTTCCACAAAGTCTCTGCTCCTATTCCACTGTAAAAAGTATTTGACCACCGGGATTTTTTGTGTTAAGATTATTCACTTTTCGTTGAATGGTGCACCTGCAAATGCCATATTTTTTTGATAATATTCGTTAGGATTCACCCTTCCTTCAATCGCTCGTTTCAACATTTCGCTATCAGACTCAGCATAGGGCCTGCAGCCAAGGAGCCAAGTTTTCTTTTGTATTTTCCCATAATAGGCTGAGAACACAATAAAAACAACAAGTCTCAAGTCACCCGCATCAAACGCCATTTTACCTTTTCATATATATTTTTTTTTTCTTAAAAAGGCAAAGTAACTTACTATATTCCAAAAGATGCACAAAATATCAATCTATTTCTGAGCAAAGTTTCAATAGGCAGTCCTAGACAGTATAGAGATAGTATGCAAAGTTATTCAGCAATTTTTTAGTTCAACAATTACATACATGCGTAAAAAAATGAACCAAAATTAACTTATCGTTTCGGCGGTGGTCCAAACATTACTATAACACGTCTTGACAACCCCTAAGTCGAATAAATACGATTGGCGCCTAAATGCGTCGGATATATTATCGCCCGGCCGTCTCAAGTCACCCAGTTTGACGGTATCTCAAGTTTCTGCTTAAAACCAACCGTTGTCCCCTCACATCGGCTGCTATTTTTTGGAAAAAAAAGTCAAATCGCTTATGATGATAAGTGAAATTACTAAGTTACGACTTCCGAATCAAACATCACAGGAATAAAGTGACCATCTGTCCCGATTTAGGCGGGACAGTCCCGATTTCGACCTACGAGTCCCGATTTAATAGGCGTCCCGCTTTTGTCCCGCTTTCAATAAATTCCAACTATCAACTTTTTATTATTCATTTATTCCGTTCACTAGTTATATTGAATTGTTAATTCAATAAGTTTTCGCAGATTTCAGAGCTCACAAGTCATAACCATTACTGTTGAAATCTGCTTGAGCATTTTCAATGGCCTCATTATCGTCTCCGGTTGCATCTTTGTGAAGGACTGTGAAACTTCTTGGGCAGCGGTCTGATATTTGGACGACAATGGGGAGTGATGCCGACGAACGATAGACACAAACCACAGACACAAACCAAATATTATAAACCAAGAGGATTGTCTATCATTGTCAAGCGCCGATACCCTTGTGACGTTAACTACAGATGCAGGTCTCCCTCAAGGTTCCTACAGTTACTAGATTGTCTGGTAGTGGTTAACTTGAGGACGCATCTTGAGTTCCTTATGGAGATATGCATTCTGTTAAGGTACCCCAGATGACGTCATAAAGTTATCAGGCAGCCTACCTCTCTCAAATAACCTTGGGTCTTCCTTTTTTCGTGGTCCTTCGTCTTTACCCCTCGACTCATACGCAGTCTAAAAGTTGTATGAGGAGGGGATAGTTTTTAAGAAGTTTCACTTCCACCACGTGTACGGCGCGGACATGATTTTTTTTCGTAGTTTAATTTTTTATTTTTTTTTATATATATCATCATTGAATAGCTACATAAGTAATTTATCTATCACTACCCAGGTACCTAAAAAAACTAAACTGAAAATGGAAACGATATTTTTGAGAACTTTGGGACTTTCAAGATCTGGTCCTTTACAGAGGAAGAAGACATGCGGAAGCTGACAGCCTAGGTACTAGAGACCACCTAGATATTGACAAATCTTATGAATTTTGCCAAAAGAAGGATAAAGAACCTTGAGCCTGCTATCAGCCGTCTTTGGATATCAGCCTCTCCCAATTCTCGCCAGCGAATTATATTCAGAGGCTTGTCTTCAGTGCAATTCACCGAACGATTCTGTGCACAGCATATTATGATATCCATCGTATTAGCTCTGAATTCCATCTATGGTCTTTTTGTCTTGCAGCGTTCTGCGATACTTTTGAAAACTTTTAATGCGCCCTTCAGCTTAGTTTTCGCTCTATTCTAAGAATTTCAGTTTTTTTTTGCAAAAACCTTATTCATTCCATATGGCTCGTCAATTCTCAAATTGTAGTTTGTCGACATATCATTATGCGTAATACCTACATTATATTGGCTGAAAACTCTGCTTGCAGGTAAAGTGGAATCTTTGATTCTTTATCGCAATTAATTTACGCTATCTGGTTGCTTTTTTCGAGTTTCATCTTCAGACCCGCCTATCTTCTGAATGGAAGGAAATTGGTGTTAATAAAGCAGCCGAAGTAGAGAACACTTATCTTAAATTGCTTAACGGAGAGATGGATGATGAAACACTTACGAACCCCGACCCGACCACCACAAACCACAAATTGCAATTGTGAGTCTGCTTTATGAACTTGAAGCGAGATAAATCCGCAGATCCAACTTCATAATCCTCAATTACCCAGAGTTCACTACCAACATTAATGAGGTCGCTAGTAGTGTGACTGACCACTGCCTTGGGCGAGAAGCTGGAGCTAATCTTCAAGCATTCCGCTTGGGAAAAGTAATTGCCAATAGGAATACGTCAATAAAGGTAATATACAACCTAAGAAATTTAGCAAATGATATCATACGCAACTCGAAAAAGCTCAAAACATATAAGAATTTGAAACATGTGTCAATTAGGAAAGACACAGGAATATACAAATAACATACCAACAGGTTTAGTTAGACACTTAGACTGCTGAACTTTATAACTCTGAATTCTCACTGTGAGAGCCCTATCGTGACAAAAACGGAAACTTGGATCCAGGATGGTGTATTTATTAATGAATTGTTCATTGACAAATATGCTGTCTATAGAGCTGACCGCAGGCTTGATCTCATGGATATCACAAAATCACAAGAGCTGTATTAATTTTTTATTTATTTTTTTATTTATATTCCACTATGTCTATTTCATCTGAACCGCCAGAATTTTTAATTAGATTGAACCAATGTGCAACACAAAGTAAAAAAATATGTCAATGTTCACTTTTTTCGAATGGAATGCACTTCATTTTCTTTCAAATTCTTGAATTTCTCATATTTCTGATTCAGAAATAATACAGGGTGTCCCAGCCAAGAGTGACCCATTTTAAATGCTTATAATTTTTAAACCAAGTGTGCTAGCTACCTGCGATTTGTGCCATTCGATTTCTCTTGGCCTAAAGTTTTTTTTAGTAGGTTGCAAATTTTTTTGAAATGTATACAGTGCGAATTAAAAAAAAAATCCGTTTTTCAACATCGAATTTCTCCACTATTTCTAATGGAACACCCTATATATCACAACGTCAAAAGAAAATCATGTTCAAGGTATCCATGTATCAATTGACATCGTTCCTAAAACTTGAAATTTTAGCCGTTAAAAATAATAATCGAAATCTTGGTATTTTTGCAAACGCATGCAACTTCATGTTGTAGGTACTTGATATCACTGACTACGTTTATTTCACGCATTGTATCCGGATACTAAGTGGATTGGATTATTAATGGGAACTTATAATCCTGAAATAAACACCCAGAATTAGAGAGTTTATCCGGATCGGAGTACATGCAGTCATAGGCATTAAAAGTGGGACACCCGACTGACAGGTCTTGTCATTTTTCACTTTTTTTGGTAAATCAGTATTTTCTCTACAATGGATTTTTTGTCAAATATGACAATTCCTGCCATTGCTGTAGGTATAGATAGTGAGCTCGTTTTACAATAGGAAAAATCGGGTGTCCCACTTTCAATGCTCACGACTGTACATAATTTATGGCCGTCTCCATCAACTATTTTAGGGAAGCCTTAACGATAAGTATTTCCCAAACTGACAGTTTTCCATGGAGAAATGTCAGTTTAAAATAAATGGTGGAAACGGCCATTAATCCCCCAAAGGACCCTGCAATATTTAAATGGAAATTGACTACCCGTGATATTTTGATGAAATTTAAATATGTTATTGAGGATGCCGTAAGCAACATTTTTTACCATGGGCACAACCCTGTATATATGACAGGTGAGGCGTGGTTAGCTGTCAAATATTGGAATCTTGAATCCAAAAGCAGAGTAACTATGGCAGATTTTGATGAACAAAAAATCTATTTCTACTAAAGGTCTGTTCCCACAGGAGTCTCTGACAGTTTGCAACCTGTCAGAAACAATCGCTCAGCTGAGTTACAGATTTATCTCGTGACGACAGCATTGAAAACATGTATGGGCGATGCTTACTGACAGTTTGCAAACTGTCAGAGACTCCTGTGGGAACAGACCTCATGTCGACCAAGTTAAGTCGAAAAATGTCAACCGTTTTAACACCTGTCAAAACCTTGCCAAACGGCAGCACTCATCTTTTCCAGTTTTCAATATTTTATGTTGTTATTTGACATTTTTAACTTATATGTAAATTCTAATTTCAAAAATTGAAAAAAAAATTACAGCTGTCATGGGGTGTGCCCATGGTAAAAAATGTTGCTTACGGCATCCCCAATAACATATTTAAATTTCATTCAAATATCACGGTTAACCAATTTCCATTTAAATATTGCGGGGTCCTTTGTAGGATTGGAGTGATTGGACTTAAAATGGAATATCTCAAATGTGAAATAAACGAATATGGATTAATAACCCTTAATCCACTTAGTATGCAGATACAGGATACAACGCGTGAAATAAACGTAGTCAGTATGGCGAACAATTTTGTAACTGTCTAGTTAAAGTTTTTTTTTTTTTAAAGATAAAAGTCAAAATGACATTATGTTGACAATACAATGTAAAATTGTCAATGCTTTCAAATTTTTTATGTAGAAAAGGCTTGTGTTGCCAACATAGTTACTAAATTTTTGACTTAGGGAATTATCTAAAAAAAAAACACACTTTAGACATAAATTAAGTTAAAATACATTTTCCAAAACAGTTAGACGAGTTCCAGAGTATTTTCTATGAAACTCATTAAATAGAAATACCCCAACGGAAACAGTTTGGTGTGCAAACTCTATTGAGAAAAAATACAGACCATTTTCATTAATGAACCAACGATAACAGAAACTGTATACACTGATATGTTCTTTTTCAACAGTTAAGACAAGAGGGTATTTTGGATGATATCTATTTTCAGCAGGATGGTGCCCCCCAACTCATTATTCTTTGATAGCAAGGGATTCACTAGATATGACATTTGGGGAAAGACGGATAAGAAAAGCTGCTGCTATAGAATGGACATCTTACTGTCCTGACTGGAGAGTTCTAGACTTTTTTCTCTGGGGTTAAGTCAAGGAAATATGCGGTAATACTTTCCTCAAATATCCTGAAAGATCTTAAGCGGAGCATTGAAGCGATTTTCCAGGAAATGATACATACCAAGATTTCAATTTTGATTTTTTATGGCTAAAACTTCAAGTTTTAGGGAAGATGTCTATTCGTACATGGGATACCTTGAACAATAATCTTTTTTTTGACGTTGTGATAAGTACAGAGTGTTCCATTAAAAATAGTGGACAATTTCGATGTTAAAAAACGGATTTTTTTTTTACTCGTCCTGTATAAGTTTCAAAAAAAATATTGCAACTTACTGAAAAAAAAAACTTTAGGCCAAGAGAAATCGAATGGCACAAACCGCAGGTAGCTGGCACACCTGGTTTAAAAGTTATAAGCATTTAAAATGGGTCACTCTCGGCTGGGACACCCTGTATGTTAATAATGTGTCTTTCCATAGTTTTGGAAATATCTGGGGTTTAGTTATTCAAAGACCTATTCACGTTTCAGAATGTTTTGTGACAGGTGGCAGGTGAATTAAGGTAAAATATATTCAAAAAACTACTCTTTGAATAACTTATAAACTACTCCAGATATTTCCAAAAGTATTGAAAGAAACATTAACATATTATAATCTGAATCAGAAAAACGAGAACTTTAAGAATTTGGAAGAAAATAAATGGCACTCCATTTAAAAAAAGTGAACATAGGCATATTTTTTTTACTTAGCGTTGCTCATTTTTGTTCAATCTAATTGGAAATTCTGGCGGTTAAGATGACATCCTACAACTTTTCTATTTACCTACACTTTTTACCTATCACCTGTAATTACGGCTGCAGGTGGGTGTCAAAATATGGTGACTCACCCTGTACAAACGGAAGGAGGTGATACTTTGTTTTTTTTTATGACTGAAATTTCAAAAAAAAAACATAGGTTCGCAAACGCTTCTGTTACCGATCTATACCAGGGTGTTTAGTTTTTCTTTATTATAGCTCTTGGAATTTAGCTCAAATTTGGAATATATAGGTCAGGCAATAGTAGTCTAGGAGGCAGTGACGACTTATTTTCCCAGTCAGACAACATGGATAGAATTGTAGGGTTAGTAATTCTAAGCAAAATTCATATATTGTTAGGGGGGGTTTTCCGATGGGTTGAGGCGCAAAATGTGTTAGAGCTTACGAATGCACGGCCCTTTTTTTTCCAGTGATAAAAATAAGTCTACTAATGAGAAGTATACTGAAGTTACGTAAAAAAATAGTCCGGCTAATCTGGGAGTAGGTATGGATAATACGTCTGGCAAGGGAAAAATTGAAGATCTGAAAAATTTCAGCCAGACTCACTTTCCAGTATCTGAGATAAGCCAAATTGCTATTTTCATATACTTTATGTTCTATTGTAGTGAATGTGAAATATTTATGACTGGGAAAATAAGTGTACTTGTATTTTTCATTGATCTTGTGAACCCATCCGAAAATTTTTGCTAAACTCAAATATTCTTGTTTTTTATCATCAAGAGAATAAACTATTTAATATACAGCAACTGGGAAAATAAGGGCTAAAAAATTTCACTGCCTACTGGAACTGGACTAATATAGTTCCAATGCAAGCTATCTTTATTTTGTTTCATTTAAAGATGATTTTTCCAGATACCGTTACATGTATTTCATAAAAAAACAAGTCTGAAGCCGTGGATATACTAAAGCACGTTTCAGCTCAGACCTAGACCTTATCAAGTCATGTAGTGCGAGAAATCCTGTCTGACAATGGAGGAAAACTTTCCAATCAGCAATTCAAGATAATATTAGACCCAAAAGGTATAAGAAAGATATTGGTGATGTCAACAACCTTGGGTGATGCCCGACACTCTCCAACAGAATAGTTGTAATGAAATAGGGAAAATCGAACGGTTGTTGACTGTTGAGGCTGCAAAAGCTCTAATGCATGCTAGAGACGGAGTATTTGACCAGAGTTTTTGGGCGGAAGTGATTAACACAACAGCTTTTATCCTAAATTGAACAGAAAAATGAACAAGAGAGCTAACAGGAGTCTGAGTTGGTTATTAGGATAATGGCTACAGAATTTGGTGTTTTGGGCAAAACAGACATTAGATTAGATCAAGTGCAACAACGAAAATATGATGGAAGATTCATCAAACAATGAAAACGTTGAAACTAGTAGGTATGTTAAAAGAAGTTCAATTAGAATTAGATCCAGAATAATTAGAAAATACAGAAGACAACTTTGAAGAAGCACTTGTTTAACCCGATTTTGAGGAAGAAAACACCGAATTAGGACGGCTGTGAAGAGATCGAATTTACCTGAGATGTCCAGGAAAATTTGACAAATTCATAATGACAGTTGTTACTCAAATATTTGAACCGGAGGAACCACTTGAATTCAAGGAAGCTGTGACTTGCATAGACTGAAAAAACTGGAGAAGAAATACAATCACTTAAAGAAAATCGCGTATGTGGGTAATGACAAAGTTACCGCAAGATAGCGATTCCTAATAAGTGAGTATTAAGCTGAAAACAAATCCAGATGCTTCAATATAGACAAGTATAAAGCTAGACTGGTAATCAATGGCTACTCACAAAAAAAGGTGGTGAGGACTATGATCAAATATATTAGACTGTGAGATAGGGGCTGTTAAGTGGAGTAATTTTTTTTTGTCTGGCATTTTGAGGGCTGAATGTGGCTACTAAGCTGATGAGAATATGGGTGATTTTAATGCCGGCCTCCCGTTCGAAAATTTGCAGAAGAAAAAAATTGATTTTCATGAAGAATACAAAAAAGGAAATAATGCAAAAACCTACAGAATGCCTTCTGTCTTCTTAGTCTTCTCTTCTGGTGCCAGTCATGTTCTTCTTGTATTCCTTTTTCCCTTTTCTCGTCTGCAATTTTCAATAAATCAAGCATCTGCGTCATTTGATCTTCCATTTCTGGGGTCTGCTCTCTCAAAAATTTCTTTACTCACAAGGATATCCCCCTTCTGACACCAATAATTATTGGACAATTATTGAAAGATTTATTGTTTTGGTCCTATTTATTAAAGCATGGATAAAACAGGTACGATCCAGCTGGAACTATCGAAAATGCCCCGCGGAGCCTCATCGTCCAAACTATGCACCATGGAAATCATGAAACCTTCAGCGAAAAACAAAATAAACCTATTTAAAACTGGCAGAACTAGAGGATGGTGGCCTTTTTTAGCGAGATTCGTAAAAGGTTCCAATCTGGAAATCGGGGTAAATACAACAGCATACTTATTTATTTTCCTATTAACTAAATATTGTTTAGGGTAAACTGGAAGCTGAATTGCAACTGGTTACTGTTGAAGAAGCTCAGAAAAATATTGTCGGAGAAGGAAGGCAAGGTCCTGAGGCTTTACCGCCACCAAAGTGAGTAAACAAAAAATTATTGACTGAAATAGGGCTTCTAGTATTGCTCCAGACGCATAATTATTGTTTGGTTTTTTTTTTAAGGTTTCAATTAATTTTCGTTTTTATAGGAGACCAGACACGTCATATTCATGGTTCCGCAACCCTCTCAAATCCTGCAAATACGTCGTGTGCACCAGATGGAGAAAACAACTTTGTTGTTGCTGTTTCATTCTACTTCTTGTACTTTTCGTAGCTTTAGCTGTATATGCTTTACCGGGGGCTGTAGTTAAACAAATGTTGGCTTCAATATTTTAAGAAAAAAATACCTACATATTTTGTGTGTGTGTAAATATTGCAATACTCAAGGGTATCAATTAAAGTAATATTATATATTTTTTGCGAATAGCTTGAATAAATATTGTTTCAGGCTAATGCATGATTAATTTCCTAAATGAATTTATTGTTTAACAGTAATTCGGCTAACAAAATTGTTTTTCTCGCCTCAATCTAATGTATTAAAGCCCTGATGTGTGATGAATTTTCGATCGGGTTTGGAGTGAAGCCCGGGAAAGTCCTTATTACGATACAAGGGTTTGTGTACTCTCTAACCAATTACCCTTATTGACTCGCTAAGGGACCACATCCTCATTTCATTTTCAGATCCGTCAAAAACGACGACAGTCTTTCGTGGCGACACATCGAGTACGTATGTACAAACTAATGTTTAAATCCATATTTTTTTGGATGTAGTTTGAAATTTTTGTATAGCTACCATCTGTAGCTATAGGTTCATTAGTGAGTAGGTAATTAATTTTTTATTAATCGTAAAATCAGTAGGAGTTATAATTATTAGAAATAATTTATTATCAGTTATTGTTCATAGTTTGCTTTACTTTTGGGGAAATTATTATCTCTAGAATCATCAAATTAATGTTCAATATTTAGAATTTTTTTATGACTCATTAGATAATTGGTGGAAGCCTTAATATACATTATCTAAATTTAGTAAATAATGTCCCCTGGCAAATCAACTAGAGTGAACTTTTTGCATGTTTCAGGTAAGTTCAATTATAAATGTACCTAAATAATAATATTATCCATAAAATTTTATTGAATGAAACAATATTGCAATTAAAATTTATTATAATTTAAAAGCTAATAAATTAATTAAATGTGTTTTAGATTAAATAAATATGCCGAATTTTCTTTACGTGTTCGAACTGCTGAGATCGTGGCGACTAGACGCCGACATTGAATTAACGAGAACCTCGACTCCTATTATAACAGTACTACCAGTGAATCTGATAGAAACTCCCGCAAAAGAATCAAAAAGTGTCTTAGATAATGACAAAAATGTAGATAGTTTGAAGAAGAAACAGGATAAAGTCGAGTTGGAGAACAAGAAAAATATTGTTCCTTATGATAATGATACAAAGATGGAGTCTAAGAAAACGGAAGAAAGTAGGAAGAAACCATTTATGGTAAGTAAAGATTTTCATTTTGAGTTTAATTAGAATAAACATGAAATATTATTATGTTTGTTTAAAAGTGAGCAGGTAATGATTCAATAAATAAGAAACTTTGAACATTAACATCATTTTAATATCAATGAATAACAAAATTTCTCAAAACTCATCACATTGAAACTAAAAAGTTTGTTAAGGGTGTAGTTAATGACTGTAAATTTCCTGGAAATCCATTACCAATTGCCTGGATTTTCTAGAATTCCTATCAGTGCTATTGGGATGAAATTAATGACAAATAATAAACTATTCCAAGTACTCTACAGGCCAGGACGTTGCTCGGGATTGGTTTACCTATTCTTGGTATTTCGACCCGACCCGTGGCTAACCAAAGCTGATGAAGTCTAATTACTCCCAAGGCTATTTGTTGATTAATTTCGCGCCAATCCATTGTATTTTGTGTTATCTATCTTCTAATTATTATCTGCAGTACAATGATATTAAACTATTTCTAACTTCAAATAACGTTATATTCGATCAAAATTGCAGCACACAAATACAACTACAATTATGTTTACTGACAGATGACGAACTGACTTAGTTATCTTCTCATTAATAACATTTTGGTTGTAGCCTCGTGAGCAGTTCACAACACTCCTCGATTAAATTTTTTAAAATATTCTATTTTAGTTTATACAAACATAGATTGTGAAAATGATAATCGCCAAACAATATATTACCCTGTACATAAATTTCCGAGGTCTCGTTTCCGAGAAGGTACCTACACACGGAATTGATATTTCCTTTCTAAGTTATTGAATGTTTTAAGAAATAACTGCTGAAATAAAGCTGCCTCAGAGTTTCCATAACGTTTTGACATAAGAATTGAACTTCTATTGTCATAGTAAACTAGAGTTCTAGCATTTATCATCAAATCCTAAAGCACAAGCCACTACGACGACATGCTTCGCTTCAGCAGAAGACGAAGCAACATCCCTGTTTTTCAAAAAGCCATGCTATTGGATTATTACCAATCAAAATTATAGAGCCACTAACACTCTTCCGATCATTCCTATCTGAAGCCCCGTCTGAGACTGAAAACGCATTTAGACTAGAACTGTACATAGGTTAATCTTTTGTCCTGAGTTCCATGCAGGTAGTAGCTCAATACTCTCACCTGCATTCCAAATTTTATTTGTAGATTCATCCAAAAATCTACACAAAGGTATGCAACAGAACATGTAATATCTGGTCCACCAATTATAGACAAATAATCCTCCAATAAGTTGCCTATCATCATCATCATCATCATCATCATTTAGCCTTGATTCGTTTGTCCCTTGATTGCCATTCCAGAATTTTCTTTGTCCATCTACCATCGTTTCATCTTGCGATATGCCCTGACCATCTTCATTGTGCTGTTGTTATTCCTTCCAGAACATCGTCAGCTCCTGTTTCCTTACGAATTGCGTCATTTCGAATCCTATCTCTGAGACTTATACCAACCATGGAGTTTCATTTTACGTTGCGTGCTGTGTAGCTTGCATGCCGATGTTTTGATCAGGGTTTGAGGTCTCCGCACCGTAAGTGAGCACAAAGCGGACGCACATGTTGAGAGCTTTTCGTTCTAGTGTAATTTATACGAGATTTAAACTTGATTTTTCAATGTTTTGTGGGTTTCTGGATGAACTTATATTCAAGAAGAAGGGCTTGATGTTATTTTTGTTCAAAGAAAGGCATTCAAGTAATGATAATGTTTAGCTTTTTTAATTTGACACTTTCCCTATGAGGAGCGAGGGGAGGAAAAATCCTGCAGAAACAAGTGAGATGTCAGGTGACCAACGATGTCATTGGGTGACCATTGGCGTGGGGATCCACCAACTTCATTCCTTTGGAGTATCAGATCATAAAAGTTGGACAGTAAGTTATACTCCTCCATATACTTCCCAACCTAATGCCGGTGTTGCAGAAAGAATGAATGAGACACCATGGACATAGCAAGATCTATGATAATGCAAGCAAAAATGGATAGGATATTTTAGGAAGATGCTGTACTTGATGCTATGTAAAACTAATTTAAAAAGTTACATGAAAAAATATCATCCTGGTAAATTCAGTCTCAAAATTTGGCAGGAAAAACAAATTTCAAGTAAATCTCGCTGTTGCAAATAAAGTCAAGCTGAAAAAAATAAATTGAAAACACAGCATATTGAACTAAGAGAGAAAATTACCAGCTTCTGGAACTGGTGACTCGTAGAAAAAGTATTGTTCCTAACACTTGCGCAAAGTGTCTTTTCCACACTGAAAGCTTATCCGGAATTCCGGTTCGTATTTGGTGTTATATGTTACTTGTTTCTTGAAAGTCGTTTTCTCAGGAAAATAAATCATTTCAGTTATCAACCTCTTATCGCTTCAATGAGCAGCCCAAAACTTCTTTCAGTGACGGCTCCCAGGCTAATAATACGGAACAAATACGAACACTACCTTATTTTTTGGTAAAAATATATTTTTTGTCCTATAAAAGTATTGAAAGCGCGCGAATATGCCATCAAGATGCGTGATTTTAAAGACTTTTGGGCGTGGCACCTCAAAAAAAATTTCCGCCCCCGGCGGGCATCTGGTCTGCCCCCCCCCCCCAGGGCCTCAGGCTGAATACGCCACTGTCTCGAAGTCTGCCATGTGCTGCCTATCCCAATGTTATTCTCCTCATTAATTCTGCTGTTTGGTTATCTCTACCAATCCTCCCTTCGTGACCCAGATATTATGTAGCTTTGCATGATATGTATCTATCTCATTGTTATTGTAGTATTTTGTGTTGTTATCGACCTTTATCAGCTTGTTGTTACTAAATTAGTGAACATTTTTGATTTTTCAAAATTGACCTTCAGACATACCTCTTGTGTAGCGTCTGTCAGTTCTTAGGATCATAATATCAGCCTCTTGTTAAGTTGTCGGAAATGAGTACGATATTGCCCGCAAATCTAAGGTGCCTAAGTCTTTCCCCATCAATGTTAATACCTCTGTTCTCCCACTCTAAGTTCCTAAAAGCATACGCTAGGACGGTAATGAATAGTTTGGGCGACAGAGTGTCACCTTGATGGCATTCAATTCGACCGAATCGAATGCTTTATAAAAATCGACAAAGATCAGAGCAAGAGGTCTGTTATATCAGATAGATTTTTCGATTAAGTTTTCAAACATTAGAGGTGATCGTTGTTGCCGTAGCGAGTTCGGAAACCAGATTGTTTTCTTGGTTGGTAGAGCTCGAATGTTGATTCTAGCCTGTTTGTAAAAATTCTGGTATATAACTTGTACAGGTGGTTGAGCAAGCTAATTGGTCTGTAATCTTACAGGCTTGTTTTACCTCCTTTTTTATGGAATATTCGAGTTATTCCACGAGGTTGGGATTTGGCTTTTGTACCTTTAGCAATGGCTGTTCTCCTGCTTGGTTTGTCTGAGATCTATATAATATTGTATAGAATCCTGAGTATAGAACTCTTTTACAGTGCGTAATAGTTTATCCCTATCCGTTACTAAATTACTGTTTTTGTCTTTGATCTGAAATATTTCTCGTTGGCCAATTATAATTTTTCTTTTTATGATTTTCAGACTTCGATTTTCTTCGATGGTTCACAATATGTGTTCATTTTTGTATTTTCTTATTTCTTTTCCAATGGCTTTTGATATTTCTCTATTAATTGTAGTTCTTATCTCATGTAGTTCCGTGTTTGGGTTACTTTTTTTTTGTCTTCGTTCTTCCATTTTTATTTTAGTTTCTTGACTATTTTTCTGTTCTTTTTTCGTTCCTAAACACAAGCTGTTTTGTGACTGTTCAATTGTGTCTACTATATTGTTATTTAATTCGTTTATGTCCGATTGTGCTGGTTTGTTCTGTAGTGTGTTGTCAATGTATTGTCGACATACTTCTTCGTTTGTTGGATGTGTCCACGTTTAGTCTTCTTTTTGATCATTTTGTCTCTCTAAATAGATCAATAGATATTTCTATAGTAGCCCCAACCAATACGTGATCGCTCAACGTAGTAATTCTGTTTAGAACCATGACATCTTCAAATATATATAGCTTTTTCGTAACGAAGTACCTAATCTGTTTCGTTTTGGGTTCTTCCATCGAAACTTTTCCATGTCCATCTTCTATTGGCTTTTTTTTGGAATAAAAAGCTATTCATCTGGTTTTTCTGAGGAACCTGTTTTAAGTCCGATTTTAGTATGGACGTCGCCGCATATTATTATGAAGTGACTGAAGTGTGCAGGGTTCTCTTCGATGGCGTTTAGTATAGGTCTTCATAGAATAGGTATATTTATTTCTTCATCACGATGGTGTCGATGTTGGTGCATATGCCTGAATGATCTTTAATGTGTGTCTTTTTGTATGCTCAGAAATATTACTCTCGTAGATATCGCTTTGATATTCTCCAAAGGGTGGAGAGGTTTTTGTTTACTAGAAAACCTACTGCACCGACGGAGCTATTTTCGCCGTTATAGTAGAACATGTGTCCTGATCTTAGTATTTCTGAGCCTAAGACAAAAAGAAGTCTTCTAATTTCGCTCATTCCGACCACGTCCCATTTTATGTTTTCTAGCTATCGTTCCATTTCGATAAATCTTCTTTCTGAGAGTAGGGATTGAAGGTAGCGACTTTGCAGGCCAAATTGTTTGTGTGTGTCCTGTTGTGTGGTGATTTGTTTACCTATAAGGCACATCTATTATTTAACTCATCATATTGGGAAGCTTCTTACATAGGTCTAGCTCTCTCTATACTCCAGCATATTAAAATTTTCCAGTAATTTCCTAATAAATTTTGTTTGTTTTATTGTAATCCCTTTTTTACTCCTTTTTATAGTGATTCCTAAAAGTATTTCCAGGTCTCCCAAATTTTAAGCATTGAAATAATGCTTTGAGAGTTGAACAGCCGTTTCGACTTTTTCTGTATTTCCCACTACTAACATATCGTTCACATATGAATAAGTAGTATCCATATATTGTTTCCACATTGTATA